ATCAAGAGTGTCAGTCAGTCAGTCAGTCGTTCGACTAGGCAGTCATTCCTTTCGTTCGTCCATCCATCCGTTCGTCTGTCTATTCGAAAAAGTACGTTCGTGAGTGAGACTCCGGTGTGGCAAGTGCGCGCCCCGTCCACCACTCACAAAGGCGCACACGTCACCAGATGTCATGTGCGCAAATGTGTCAATCAAACGTCGGACAACGTTTCAACCTCTAGATTATTTCAATTTTCTTCACGCCAGAAACAGCTGGACAGCGATGATCACAGATACACGAGACAAACAACTCCACACACCGTTCAGGAAGACAAGGAGAAAGTTCCCAGAATGAGAATGTCACTTCCATGGATACGAGATCTGAAAATTGATCGTACACTCCGGTTGATCATGGATGGATCTTACCGGTGCCAAGACAGCATTAAGAATCCTATGGAAATCGGATTATGAATAGAACCCCTTGCACGGAGTTCTGATCTCTGCAATGCCGCTCTGGTCTCCGCGAAGTGTCCAAGAGAGAGGGCCGTGCTTTCAGGTCTGCTCAGAGAAAGTCACGAGACACGCGGGCATCTAGAGAATCCGGAGTCTAGCGGAAGTCACGTCCACAGGCACGAAAAAGAACGGGGAAAGGGGGGTTCTGATATTTCAGCATAGGGTTCGGCAGCCATGCCGGTCCCTCGCAGCGTTCCTGTCGGTCCCGCTTTCGTGGGAGCTGATCTCCAGGTACTTTATTTTGTCTCGACTTTGTCCCTTGGGGAGCGATCATCTCTGGCAACTCCTATAAGCGATACTGGAGGTCCAACGCCTAGCCCGACCACGGGAGCTCAGCCTGGCGTTGGGAGACTGATCGTTCCGCTTCATGATTGGGGGATCCATGATTTCTAAACGCCGAAAGCCCCTTTTTCGGAATGTTCCCGTCGGCGGTCCCGTGTCTCGGTCGAATGCAGCGTTCGGTCTCCGATTCCATCCTCCTGGTTCTCATGTCGAATGCAGAGCTCGCTCTGTACCGAAAGCTCTAGAGCTATCACCGGGACGGCCCCGCGGTTTGATGGGCGGATGTCACATGCAAGCATGAATTCGCCTAATCCTTTCCGAGAGCGTCGTCAATTCTCACGAAGGCTCCGTGGCGAGGATTTCGCTCTTCAATCTCAAGAGTCCCCTCCTTAATCCCTTCGTCAGGAGGCTCCGAACCCCGAGCCCGCCAATCATCGCAACGAGTATGCCCGAGTGGATGATTGTGATTGAAGTGACCACGATGATGATTGAAACAACATTGATGGCGATTGTCGCGCAACAACGCGTCGCCACTGCGTCGCTGACAAGCGCGTTTCGTACAAAAACGATGGCGAATGACTGTTCGCGGTCTGTCATGTCTAACGATGGAGCTCAAGTGTCGACGGCCTCATCAAAATGTGACAGATTCGAAAACCTCAAACCTTCCCTCGCCAATTTCGTCTTTGACTGACTTCTCCAATTGGCAGCGCGGATCGGGCTCTTTGTATGTCTGTCCCGCAGTGCACAGTCCATCTCGAGAGAGTCTGTCAGTTCTCAGCCGAACAAGAGCAAACCTGTCTCGGAGCTGACGACGAAGGAGGCGGCAGGTCTCAAGAGGACGAAATGCGGGCTCCTCTCAGAACGTCGATATCGACAATTGGAATTTTCATTTCACGACATACGATCGTCAGTCGCTCGATCCCGCGCGAACGGGGGATTTTTCACTCGTTCAGAGCATGAGCGTCAGTCGTCGGAAGATCATCGGATACTCTCCCTCGGACTGCCGCCTCAAAACTGAGCTCGTCTCCAAGCTTGAGGATTCCATTTATCAACGAAGTCAATTCGTTTTCGGCTTTCGGAAGCCACCCCAATAGGGAGGAATCATAGCTCTGGGATTCGCGCATCAGCTCCGAGATCCGAGTCCGCGTAGCGATTTTCGAACATCTGATCTCGATCAACGAAGCTTAGTGCATTCGAGGAGCACTCTCAGTGTTCGCGAAATATCTCCAGAGATCCGAAGTTTTCGACATAATAAATCTTTCTCAGCTAACACAACAGCCACATCGTCGCTCCCGACTTAGATGTACCCCAGAGCTGCTGGCACTTGTACAAAAATGTGCAAGTGAGCTAGTCGAGCGGCAGGCTCGCACATTGATTAATGTAAACTGCGATCTAAATCTTCGATTGGGCAGATCGATCGGTCGGTCGCTCTCTCGCTTGTTCGTTCGCTCGCTCATGGCCGATCGATCGACGCTCGTCGTCGTCGTTTCTCCAGTCGGGCCATTGAGCAAGCAATGGATGCATTGAAAGAGTTCTTCGAAGCATAATACACAAAGGCCAAACTCACAATTTAACATGAGGCTGACAGAGTGTGTCTGATAAATGATTAGGCTGTCGTCTTTAATGTGAAAATGTGCATACAGCCCTAGCTGATCGGGCGAAGGAGACCGCCGCCGCGACCAACCACCATTGAAAAGGAAGAGTGCTTTGTTCAACTCCCCCCTCCCTCCCCTCATCTCCCCCTCCCGCCTGACCCCTCTTCACTCCAGAGACACACTCACACGCACACACATGCATACACAGAGAGACTCATTGGGCCGTCATCATCATGCATCGATCACTCTTTTGGGGTTCGGTCAGAAGAGACGATCGTTGTCGCTGTCGTCGACAAAAGAGCCAACACAGCCCACAATTCGACTTCTCCAATGAATGCCATTAGGACGGGTCCGGCGCTTCTGTTCCGCACTCGATCTCCGCCGACCACCATTCGATATACATCATCCTCGGCTAGGACACCGCATTTTCATGGCCGGGGTGCGGCACCCGTCTCGTTCCCCACGGCTGATTCGTGGAGCAACTGATTTACGGATGGTATATGCCGCGAATTTCGGCATGGGAAACATCGATGCGTGAACATATTACACCTCGCTGAGATGCCTGACAGCTACGGAAAGCCTCGCGACCGCCCGGCGCGTCCGCCGCGCAGCGAGAAAACCGATACCGATTCGTACCGGTATCGTCCGCCCTCTGGAAACACAACGCGCATGCCTCAAGAGTAGGAGGCTTCGAGAAGAGTACGAAACTCGTGATTTGTTGCAGCTGACTCCGTTCCGTCATGCGATCAGTTTTCGTAGCTGTCTAGTTTCGCGGCCGTATGTCACTTTGATGAAATGGAACTGGTCATTTCGTGTCGTTTCGGTGATTGATCGCGAAGCTACAAAGCTTGTACCGTCCAAAAAAAAGATTGCGGCGATGAAAGCTCCTCCTAGAAGCGACTCCCACTCCATCATGCGACGCACTCGGACCTCTCGCTTTCACTCGTCCGCCCGCTGGCTCGTTCGTGCGTCGGCTCGACAGCCCTCCAGCCCATCCGTTCGCGAGCCGTGGCTGTGACTCTGTCTTCTTCGTGCCAAACCCCCCGGCCTTCGATAAGGGTCTGGTCTTGAAGAAGGAAAACTTGGCAAAATCTCGTCCACCTCCTTGGAATTATTTTGATCCGGATAATCTTGAGGAATCGTTCCTCTATTTACGACGTAGGGATTCACGTAGCGAAATAAAAATTCCATCGGAATAAAATTCCTTCCAACTACATTCTAGCTCACTAAGCTGTTCGTTCGCCTGCGGGAAGGAAAATATTGAGAGCATGAGAACAATTCTAATCGTCGGTTCCCACTTGAGAGCCGAATCGCTCACTCAGTGGCGAAAACAATCGGAGCAACTTCTGATAACGTTTCGAGAAGCGTCGGGCGTTAATCGAGTGGAATCACGCAGAATTTTCTCCAACAGTCCCCAGACTAGCGGAAAGGCTTTCATCGCTGCGGCTCGTCAGTGGTTCCCCGGACTCGGATCGGCACTGGAACGAATGCGAGTTGGCGTGACCAGCTTCATAAGTTTCAGTGAGTGGAGGAGACGTTTTCTCGCGCCCTAATGGCATCGAATTCAAGTTTCGCCGGAGTCTGTCCGAGAGACTCAACAGAGAAGCGCAGGCCTGGGAGGGAAAGAATGAAGATATCTAGAACATCCGTGGGGTGAACTCGTTTTAATTATTCCGATCCACATCCCCATCCGTCTCACGAGTACTCTCCTCGTAGGAGCTCAGAAAATCGAGGGAGAGCTACACAGTCCATTGTGGGTAGTAGCTTATGGATCAGACTTGGGGAGTGGATCAGACACTCTCTCCCTGCGAGCCTGGGGGAAAGATGCGGAAATAACGTTGTGAGACGTTCTTTCCACCTGTCTGGAGTCTGGGAGACTACGGTTGGACGAAGCAAGGTCTCGAGAAGATCGTAAGGATCTCCCAGTGAGGAGAGCCCGCCAGAGCGTTCATCCAAACATGGCACCACCCTGAGAAGCATAACAAAAACACTTTTCCGTTCTAATACTTGGAACACTTGTCGCGTTGTTGTGCATGTTTCGTTTAATTCGTGCTGGCTACTGAGGGACACGGATCTGCATTGCGGACTTTGGCGGATTGTCGTTTCCCCATCGAGTGCCATGTTGAGGATCTGATCTTGCTAGGAGTTATTGGTAGGTACTTGATCGAGGACGACTCTTCTCAAGTTTGGAACTTGGGAACACGCTCCTGAAACGTGCATGTTCGCTCATTCATTTTCGGTGGCGAGTGACGAGTGCTTGCGGAGAGTGTACAGGTATCCTTGACCTCTGAGCTCTGGGTCAGAGGCTGGCTTTGATTCTAGCGACATTATTCCTCTGTGGAGGAATGTCTAGCGGTCCGTCCCGGAGAACGTTCTATGGTGTTGAGTCGAATTACGTGATCGGATTGGCTCTCCGTCGGAAGACCCGGGAACCGCGGAGTGCGAAACTCTGAACGAACCGGGAAATCTCGTCTATCTCGACGCGGCCGGATAGGAGCGACATGACTCTGAACTCGTCGATTTCTCCGCTTCGGAAGGCGAAGGGCTTTAGTTTAGAAAGTTTCTCCATCTGTCGAGTTTTCGCACTGATTTCGCTTCTTTCAGAGGGTTAGAGCTCGTGAGCAAGAATTGATGGAAGAAAATGCAGGGGATCATGATATCATCGCTCCTGGTAATTTCCTCGTGACAGCCGAAGAAGAACTGGGATCGCTCCTAGATCCGAGCAACGACGCTTTCGGAAATGTCGCGTTCGAAACCGAAGTCACCGTCCAGGACGAAGAGGATGAGGAGCCAATGGAGGACAACAGTCAGGAAGCGTCGTCGGAAGAACTTAGCCCTAAGCGCGAAAAAGATGAAGACGAAGTCCCCTCTAGTTCTACAGCGCACATGTCTTTGAATGAAATGCAGAGACAAGTTTTCTCTTTCGAAACGGATCATCTCGCACTGCGCGCCAATGACGAATACAAGAGTGTCCTAAAGCTGTTGGTCCTGCTCGAAGCTCAGCGGATGACGGCCATACAAGACCTGAACACTCTGGCGAGGGAAAAACGCGCTGCCTTGAGCAACCCTGCTGAGTTCGTGAGGAAACTCCAAGAAGGCACGCTGGACCTTCCCTTGCGTCAATCGATACCGGAGGTACCCGAAGTGGACCTCGCGAAGTATTCGATCTCGGCAAAGTTCGCGAGCGCTTGTCCTCAGCTCACGCGAGCGGCCGGGGTTGAACCCAGTACGTCGTCGACGCAAGAGCTGAAAAGCACTAAAAAGGCCAGACATCTACCGAAGCAAGCGAGCAAACCCGAGACGTTCAATAAGCCATGGTCGATCGAGGAGCAGCTAAAACTCGAGGAGCTCCTGGTGAAACATCCTCCACAGGTGGTTGAGGCCGGTCGGTGGAAAAAAATAGCCGAGGAGCTCGGGAACCGCACAGTGAAACAGGTTGCCAGTCGGGTCCAGAAGTATTTCATCAAACTGACGAAGGCTGGACTACAAGTTCCTGGCAGAGTGCCGCACATCCCAAAAACCGGAAAAAAAGTGAGGAAAGTGCAATCGACCCTAAAAACGCATTCCTATTACCTATCGACATTTTTCCCACAACACAACACGACCGTAAGCCTGGACGATGAGCCGGTCGCTGAATACACCGTCGTTAAGGAGGAACCCGATAAAGTTGAGCAATGCGCGACGTGTTCGAAGCTCATCAGCGATTCGGCATTCAGAATTCATTGCAAAGACTGCGACGCTGTCTTCTGCACCGAAGATTCCTGCCAACAGAGCTCGGAATGTGCCAAGTCAGAACACGACTTGAAACTCGAGTCTCGCCTTCAAGTGGACGAAGATTACATCATAGATAACCACTACCTCGACCCGAATTACTTTCCGTCGAAAACCTGACGAAGGGAAGCGAGAGTCTGGTCGACGGCTCCACTGCTATGTGCAAATTGTATATGCTCGTTAACTTGTCCCCTATGTATAATTATGTGCATAATGAAGGCGATCTCTGATGTGTGGGAATTTGATGGAACAAACGATCCGGACGGACAAGGGATCCGCTAGCGAGATGCCTCGAAGAGATTCATGGCTACTCGGGGTCTTTGAGCCTTAGAGGGCTCTTCCAGCGATATCCCTTATCGGGCGTGAAGCTGGAAAGACAACGAGAATGATGAGAAAATGAAATGTTAGAAGGGTGGATTCGCAGAAAGCTCGACGCGAGGGGGTTTGCTATCATTCAGTCGAGAACTGATCAATTATTCGGAATCTATGTCGAGTTTCGAGTTTCGCACTAGGTGTGGGGAGATATAAGATTATCGAGTTATTGTATGTTCGATCTCCCCGATCCAGCTGAGAGTTGATGCGCTGAATAAAATGAGCTTATTCGTGTATAATGTTTTTTTCTGCTTCCTCCCTGGGATCTCCCGGGGCCTAGAAGGCGCGACCACTGTCTCTGTGGGTAATCCCCTGGCCTTGAATTCTTTCCTCCCAGTACCATCGCTCTTCCTTTCACTCCCCATCGATCGGAAGGTTCTCGACCATCACGTTCCGCCAAAATGTTCCGTCAAACATGCACCGCGGATCATTCATCTGCGTATCACTGAAGGATTCGCACATTCGGAGCGATAGAGCGACGTCGTCCTCGGAAAGGAAAATCGTGTCTGAACTGGAGTCGAGAGGCGTCGCAATCTACTCCAGCGCATGCCGAGCCGATGTGGTCTCCCGTGTCGGATCCATTGTTGTGAGTATGATTTGAAGGATGATGAGATTTAGATTGGAGTGAGGTTTGTAGAAAATTCGATACACAAAGCTGACAATCGGCTGCCGCATCGACATCGGCTGTCAATGCGACGTTTTCAAAAAACTCTCCCGACACAACTGGTGAAGCCGCTCTGTGTTAGGGCAGTGTGATACGCGTTTTCTACGAGTCGTCGTCGACCGCTGTTGTAGGAATTAGCATATAATGCAGGGCAGGTATGCGCGCCTGCCAGCCAGCCTGTCAGATGTCAGTCAAGTAGTCGCATCCACAAAGGCATGTTCCTCTCCCCCTCTCTCCTCTACCGAACTCCACTCAATGCGCTCGCTGTGGATCCTCGGCTACCTTTCTACCACCAGGAATAAAAAAGTCCCGTCATCCTTCTAGAAACAGCTTCCTTATCTCGCGGGAAATTCCGGTGAGAATCGACCTATCGTCGATCCGTCGCCTGAATTCTGTGGATGCCAGTGACGGCACGCGGCGATAGGAGAAGGCCGTCGATAGCGAGTTCACCGCGACTGCACGAAACTCGGAGAAATCTCCGGAGTTCTTCCCTAGATCAGCAGTCTACGCGAACGACTGAAAATGATTGTCTGCTTTCGGTGAGAGAGCTATTGAGCGAGTGCGCGGATGGCGATTGACAGAATCTGACGGATGCTGTCGAAGCCGGGGTAAATTTAAATAATAATTCGCTCTTGTTCTGCGGGCCATCTCCAAATGTCACTGTCAGTCAGAGAGACAGTGTTAAGTGTCATCTGACTCGATCCACCCATCCACTAAAAAAGCACCAACTTCAAGCAGACAAAAGCAAGTCCAACTGAGCGAGTGACTGACTGACGGGCTGTCGGTCCGTCGGTCTGTTTTCCCATCTCGCCCGTCGCTAGTCATGGCTTTCGTCGTACTTGTAGTTGTCTGGCAGACCTAAATGCTCGTGTCGAGTCTGACCGACGATCAGCTCCGGCAAATAGAATACAGCGAGATTTTCATCTCGGAATAATAATTTCTCTCGAGGGAGTGGCAAGAATATCATCGTCATGGCGGAGGAGGTGACTTCCGATGCGGAAGTGTCTTTGCTTCGGATCTCGTGGATTTATGTAAAATTTACTCTTATCGATTCGAAAACGTGGTCCCCGTCGGAGGATTGTCCCTCCAAAGCCTCGAGACCCAATGACGTCGCATTCAGGTTTGTGATAACTCTCACTTCGCTAGTCGGATACAGAGCTTCGTCGTTACAGGATGGAACTGAATTGTTCCGGGCTTATTCCTAGCCCTTTTATTCGTCATCAAATGACTTGAAAGTAATGATTATTATTTGGGGAACTCCCGCGTTCCCACACCTCCCCTTCTAGAAGAGAACCGTTATCCTTCGTAAGATTTCGCCGACGGATCCAGCTCAAGTCTCGAGGGCTGTCGAATCAGGTGCCGGGGTCTCAATGCATTGAACCAACGCGAGACCAGACTGCCTTCTGACGCTGACGACTCCCCGGGTGTCGACGAATATTCCTCCGGCTCAAACGCCGTCTCTTCCCTGTCATCTCGAAACTCGTCCGACCCAATTTCATCGTCGCTTCCATTCATGGTCGCGCTGTTGCCTCTTGCCTCATCAGCCGGGGAGATTTGGACGCCCGTATCACCGAAGACGGGTACGGGGTTCGGCTTCCGAGTCCTTTGAGCGATGGCAAAGAGCAGAGACCGATTGGTACCAGAATCATCAGAGGAATTTGAGATTAGTGGAAGGGTCCTGACCTTAAGCTGGTTCACGTGACGGGTCCATACATGACCGTCTGCTTCCACGTCGTAGGTCACCTTACCACGGTGACGCAACACTCTAGCAGGGGTCCAGCAGGGCTTGTTCGGGTTTCTGAAATCCTTGACCCAGACCAGATCCTGTTCCTTGAAGGTCCTCATTCTAACACCGTGGCGCTGATCGAAGTATCTCTTGTAAGAGCTCGCTTGGGCGGGTCGATCCGAACTTTCCGTGTACCCACCTCTGGGCGTAAGAGGCTCAGCTCGGTGCGGACCGGTCTACCTAGGAAGAGCTCGGCCGGAGTCTTCCCCTGAGGGTTCGGCGTGTTCCGATACGTCTGTAGCATAATGTTCAGAGCGTCTCCACGTCCTGTTCCCCCCTTCGCAGTTTCTTGAACGTCCGCTTGAAGATATCGACGAAACGCTCCGCTTGGCCGTTCGAAGCCGGATGACAAACCGGAGCGCATAAATGACGTATTGCCCGACTCTCACAGAAACTCTCGAACGACTTCGCTTTGAATTGCGCTCCATTATCAGTGACGAGAGTGGTCGGATTCCCAAAACGAGCGCATAATGCGGTGAACTTGTCTATCGTCGACGCTGCCGTGGCAGATTTTAGCTCGAAAATCTCCGGCCACTTCGAATAAGCATCGACCACGATCAGATACATGTGGCCGTCCAAAGGACCGGCGAAGTCCGCATGCAAACGTTGCCACGGCTTCGAACACGCTTCCCAGGGATGCAGCGGTGCCTTCCGAGGGTCTCTGTTCAGCTCCGAACACGCCGAACATCCGCGCACCAGCGCCTCGACCTGTTTATCGAGCTTGGGCCAATAACAAAACTTCTCGCGAGACGCTTCATCCTTGAAACACCAGGATGACCAAGATGTAATTGTTCAAGGACTTGAACTTGGAGTGCTTCTGGTACAACCACTCGATCCTCAAGCATGACGCAATCTTGGACAATCGACAAAGAATCTCGCCTGTTGAAGAAGAACCAGAGCGGAGTCTCTTTGTCCACTCTCGTAGGCCAGTCTTTCCGTATATTCTCCTGGACTGCCTGTAGCAATTTATCCTTCGATGTGTATTCCCGAATTTGTTTATGAGTTGTCGGAATACGTCGGATGCATTCATCGAGCACCGCACAGACCTCGGCCTCAACGCACCCGATCACGACGTCCTCTGAGACCTTGTCGTGTTGCTGCTGAGCAATCAGTCGTGAGAGACCATCTGCTTGGCCGAATTTCGTCGTCTGACGGTATTCGATTTCGAAGTCATATCCAATCAGCATCGTAGCCCAACGTTGAAGTCTGTTGGCCGAATATACTGGGACGCCGGACTTGTTGCCGAAAATTGCAAGCAATGGACGATGGTCCGTGAGTAGTAGAAATTTGCGCCCGTATATGTACTTGTGGAATTTCTTACACGCGAAAATTAACGCAAGACCTTCTTTCTCCGTCTGCGAATAATTTTTTTCCGCACTGGTCAGTGAACGGCACGCGTGGAAAACTGCTTTCTCAGTGGAATCCGGGTATCGATGCGACAGCACAGCGCCGATGCCGTAGTTGCTGGCATCAGCCGCAACGATCAGGGGTAGTCGAGGGTCGTAGTGTGTAAGGAATAGATCCGACTGTAGAAGGGTTTTCAGCTTGTCGAGGGACTTCTGGCACGCTCCCGACCATTCGAACTTAGACTCTTTCTTCAAGAGCTGATCGAGAGGGGCGCGTAATTCTCGCATGGAAGGCATGTACGCGCTGTAGTATGTTATCATGCCTAACAAGGCCCTTAGCTCACTGATGTTTGTCGGTGCCGGCATCTTGATTATTGCTTCAATCTTTTCCTTGTCCGGCTTCCTCCCGTTTTCCGTAATGCGCTGCCCTAAGAACTTGATCTCCCTTTGCAAGAAAGAGCATTTCTCGAGCCGAACCCTCAGACCATACTCCTCGATCCGTTTGAACAGTTGGTGGATGGACTCGTTGTGTTCCCTCAGGTCTTTGCCAGTTACGACAATATCATCGAGATATGCTGCCGTATTGGGAACCCCCGTGATCATCGTATCGATCATTTGTTGAAATGTTGCTGGGGCCGTCTTGACACCGAACGGGAGCCGATTGTATTGAAAGAGCCCCTTAGGCGTATTGATGCATAACATCTTCTTACAATCGTCCCTTACCTCGATCTGGAGGTAAGCTTCAGCGAGGTCCACTGTCGAGAAGTAGACACCCCCATTCAATTTCGTGAAAATGTCTTCTGCGGTTGGTAGTGGATGGTGGTGGTCTTGGAGTCTCTCATTCAGCCCCGTGCTGTAATCTGCACACAATCTTATGTCGCCAGTCTTCTTCTTGACGATGACCACTGGTGCAGCAAAATCGGAATGTGTGACCGGTGAGATCACCTCGTTG